GGTAAAAGGATATGTGGGATTTAAATCTGAGACAATGCCAATGTGTCTTCCAAAGTTACTGGAGCAATCACAGTCCCACTGAGTCTATCAGCATGCTTCTATGTGAACATCTTAAAATTAGAATTTTGTTTTGCTCTGTGTGAAGGGGATGCATGAGTTTATGCTAACTTATTTGGATTAAAATTTGCCCACATGGTGACCAGTCCCCCAGCCAGGCACACGGGTCCTGGTCTGGAAGGACCATTGCTGGGAAGACTCACCTTGCTGATTTCTGTCAGGGACATGGTGATGCTGTAGAGTTGGTTCTTACTGGTGCTGGCAACCAGAGTTTCCTCTGAGGGGCTGAAGCATAGGCAGAGAACGTCCTGTTTGTCAGACTGACTTGGATCATTGCTCTGCGGGTCCACAGGAATCTGCTCAAGATGCAAAACAGCTATCAGTAATGTCCCCAGCTTGTCAGTGGGCCTTAGGCTTTCAGAGTTTTCTTGGATGACTTTAGCTTACAGACTCCCAGACCAGGCTGCTTCCTGGGATCCCCCTATTCTTTGTTTGTTTTTTTTTGAGAGAGGGTCTGGCTCTGTCACCCAGACTGGAATACAGTGGCTTGATCTTGGCTCAATGCAACTTCCACCTGCCAGGCTCAAACCATCCTCTCACCTCAGCCTCCCAAGTAACTGGGACTACAGGTGCACACCACCACACCTGGCAAATTTTTTTTTTTTCTTTTTTTTTGAGACAGAGTCTTGCTCTGTCGCCCAGGCTGGAGTGCAGTGGTATAATCTTGGCTCTCTGCAACCTCTGCTGCCTGGATTCAAGCAATTCTAGCTGGAATTACAGACACATGCCACCATGCCTGTTTACCTTTTTTTTTTTTTTTTTGAGAGAGAGTTTCAATCTGTCACCCAGGCTAGAGTGCAGTGGCATGATCCTGGCTCACTGCAACCTCTGCCTCCCAGGTTCAAGCTATTCTCTTGCCTCAGCCTCCCAAGTAGCTGGGACAATAGGCACACACTGCCACGCCTGGCTAATTTTTGTATTTTTAGCACAGATAGGGTTTCACCATGTCGTCCAGGCTGGTCGCAAACTCCCGACCTCATAATTTTTTTTTTTTTTGTAGAGGTGGGGTTTCACCATGTTGCCCAGGCTGTTCTAGAACTCCTGAGTTCAAGAGACCCACCCGCCTTGGCCTCCCAAAGTGCTGGGATTATAGACATAAGCCAATATGCTGGTCGATTTTCCTATTTTTAAACTAACTCTGTTCACCTCATCCTAAAACCTCTCTCAGGACAGATATCTCAAGTCACCATTTCACCATTTCTGCTCAGCAATCCTGCCCTATCCCTCCCCATCAGATGCCTTCTCAGAAAACTGCTGCTGGGGAACAAATGCCAATAGGACCCGTTTTGCTTCTTTCTTTTTCCCTCCTTACCCTGATTTCTCTGCTCTCACGGTAAAAATCCTTTTCTTCCATCTTCTCAAACAGCAGAACTCTCCCTGGCCCAGCAGAACAGGCAAATCCCTTTGAATAGGCTGCAATGGCAAACACCTGGGGCATGGACAGCTGACTGTGGCTACTGGCCGCCACCATCTGTTCATAGGAAGGGAGTGGAGAACTGATTGGTGGAAATTCGATCAGGCTGGAAACAAAAAAACAGCATATACAATTTACAGAGACAATCTTGAGGAGATGGAATTCTGCTGGGGAGGAGAAAGAAGGCTGTCATTGGGTGTGACAGAAACCACCCAATGATCCCCTTTTCCATAGCCAAATACTGCCCTTTGGCTTGGGAACTGTACACAAACTGCACATGGCCAAGCCCAGAAGCAAGCGAGTACTCGGGGCGTATGGAGTAGACAGAGGCAAGGGTTGTAGAGGAAGAGAGCCGCAGGTATGCTTGGGCCAAGCCAACGAGTCTGGGCTTTTTTCTGGGAGGCCTGGACCCCAGAGCTTAAGGACTGTGAACGCAGCTCCTGGAGAAGGTTATGGGGACTTTTTAGGAAGCTCCTAATTACAAAAAAAAAAAAGAAAAAAAAAAAAAAAAAAGGAGGATATGCCATTGGCATGGGGGGATGGTAGTAAAAATGGGTGGATTGAAGGTTATTGAGGAAGAAGAATCTACAGGATGTCATTGGGGTTGAGGGTCCAGGTTCTGGCATCCGAGAGATCTGGGTTTGAATCCTGAGCCTGCCACTTCTCAGAGCAATAATCTTGGATAGGCCAATTACCTCTTTGATCCTCAGTTTCCTTGTCTACAAAATGGGCATGATAATAGTATGAACTATATAGGGTAAGAATCAAATGGGAATATTTATGAAGTGTTTAAAGCAATGTTTGGTGCATGCAATGGTATATTCCAATCCACAGGAGATATGATTTTTACTGGTTGTCACAGCGGTAATGTGGCATCTCTCTTACCATGGTCAATAACCACTCCTTCCTGAGACTGCACTTTACCCCATCCTCTGTCAGATTTACCTAAAACATTTCCTTGCATTTGTTGGTCTGTCGCCTCCTGCTGAATTATAAGTTCCGTGAGGACTTGTGTCCCCAGCATCTAGCAAGAGATGCCTTTTGTATACTGCAAGGGCTTGGTGGACATGAATCAACTCATTAAATTAGTCACTGTAAAATATGTTTCTAAAACTATAGTTTTGAAGACCAGCCATATTATAATGCTTATAAAATGAGGTTAGGTATAAAAAATAAAAAGAACTGTAGCTAGCCTATGGTTATAACTGTTAAATTTGTGCTTAAATATAGATGAAAACTCTTCGAGAAGAAGAGGGAAAATGGGCATAGTTGACTTTTATGGCAGAGGGGTTATGAGTGGTTTCTAAAGAGTGCTGTCTTCTGTATAATGCTGTTAGTACAATGAATGTGGGAGTGCCAGCCCAGGAAGCACCATTACCTCTCTGATTCCTGGATGACATCCAGGTTCTTTGAGTCACGGGTGGGTTCTTTGACCATTATGCTGGTCTCCCAACGCTGATCTCCAGATTCAAAGAGGAAGAGTTTGCCTGTGTCAGTGCCAACAACAATCTTGTCATCAGCCACCCAGGTGTGGGCTAGATAGTTTTGGGGTTCTCCCCTCTGAAAATTGGTTTGCTTCAGGGTTCCCTCAGTGAAACGGAGAAGCTTAAACATCCCATTTCCAGTGACACACACCTGAGTGTTATCCTGTGGACTGAAGCTCACCTGTAAAATGTGAGAGAATTGAAGAAAAAAATTTATGAAACTAATCTTGATGGAATTATTTCCCATTTTACAAGTTAATATTTATTTCAGGCTGCTCAGAATATCTCCTAAACATCACAAAATCATGTAATTTTATGCTGCATTTGATAAGGGGACACATCTATAATCCATTATATTTATCCATTATATTTATAGGGATATGAGTCAAACTAGGAGTCAAACTAGGAAATCTACAAAGGCCAAAGAGCAGAATGAGCAGCTTTTGACAAGAGCCACACCCAGTGCCAACAAAATGGAATAAAGCTCAGCTGGAAACACAGAAAAAGAGGGTCTGATAGGTTTACATAGCCCTGTCCAGGAGGAAAGAAATCACATGTCAGGGGATGCTATGTGGTCTCCTACCAACTAAACATCCTTCAACCACAGCTCTTATCCCAATATACACCTGCTCCTCTAGTTACAATGGGATCATGTCCTGATAAACCCATCATAAGCTGAAAATGGGCAAAGCCATGTGGCCACACAGCACCACACTGTAGAGTACCTTGGTTGTTACCTTCGTGATTGAGTGGCTGACTGGGGGCTGTGGCTGCAGCTGCTGCCCAGCATCATGAAAGTATATCACTTGGCCTCTTTCTCCAGAGTGCATATCACTCTTGTACCATTGTAAAGATGAAAATTTTAAGTTTAACCATAGTAAGTTGGGGACTACCTGTAATAGGTAATAGGCAGTCAACCTGCTGTCCTGGCTAGATAGTGAGCAACTTGAAGGGCTGTGACTTTTTCATCTCTGTTTTCCCAGTGCTGGATTCATCATGGGCATCCAATAAATGGTTGCTGAATCTACTTAGTCAGAGCAGGAGGTGCTTCATCAGGCCTCACTGTGGCCTGGTTGAAATCCTCTTCTGGTTCTACCTGCCTTTGGTCTGATTCTGGAAAAATCACTCAGCAGCTTTCTGATTACTATTATAATTTCACCTCGCAACTTCTCTACTACTAGGAAGAGAATACACTGGATAAATAATGTGAGCGTTCTGGTTGTAATATGCTGGTTTACACATCAACATCTTGTGGGTTGAATAAGTGAGTCTATGCCGGAGACACTGATTAGCTAGAATCCCTGAACATGAACAGAACTGAGTCATGGAACTTGTGGAATTGAGTGCTAGATCCCAGACTAGGGTGAGGGAACCAATATCAAACCTCCTTGGGACCCCTTGCCTAAGCCATCAATCAGGTTCCTGAGGGGTCTTCTTCCTTTTGCCCTCAAGACACAATAGAAGGTTCTGCTCCTTACATAACTGCAACTTCAGCGACAGCTTCCTCAAGACCTACCACTTTACATCACATTTCGGAAATCTTCCTACTGCCCGGCAACGCTGCTGGAAAAAGAGGCTAGGACCAGGGAGAGAAAGCAAGTTTTATTAATCCACTTCTGGGCTAAACCTGTGACCAGAAAGCAGTTCTGGGCCAAAGTAAAGAAGATAGGAGCTGGAGCTGGGGAACTCCTAGCTCTGCTACTCACTACCTCTGTGATCTTGGGTGAATTACCTAACCTCTTGGAGCCTCAGTTCTCTCATCTGTAAAATGGGGATAATGATTGTGCATACCTTATATGGTTGTTGTAAGACTAAATATAAAAATGCATGGAGGAAATCAGAACTGTGGCACACAGCACTCAATAAAAAGTAGTTCTATTTTTTATAATTTTCACGATACTTGTCACACTACTAGGTACCTGGTAGACAGGGTTGTTCTGGGTGTCGATTCTAACAATGGCCATTACTTTCTGTTTTTCCCACAGCCAGTAGACAAGATTTGACTCTGGAGGTGATGTCTGAGCCAACAGGTATTTGGAGTCTGGAGAAAAAGCCATGCTAATAAATTTCTGAACTTGGAAGTCAAAATTATTAAGAACTTTGCGCTTCCGGCAAGGGATGGATGACAATTCATAAATGGTGATGGCAGGTTTTTCTTGCACAGTCTCAGAGATAGCGAGATACCGCCGATTGGGACTGATGGACAAGGCCAACATGCCCTGACTCTTGTCTGAGCCTGCAAACAGAGGAAAAAGGAAATAATCAGGGTAGATCACACTTTCACCAGGATTCAACAGGAACCAGGCACAGTAGTGGGCACTGGAGTGGACAGAAAGAATAAAGGCGGCCTTGGCATAGCTGTGTTTGGGCATTATGAAAATGACTAGGGGCCAGGCGTGGTGGCTCACGCCTGTAATCCTGGCACTTCAGGGGGCCGAGGCAGGCAGATGACTTGAGATGGAGAGTTCGAGACCAGCCTACCCAACATGGTGAAACCCCATCTCTACTAAAAATAAAAAAATTAGCCGGGTGTGGTGGCAGGTACCTGTAATCCCAGCTACTCAGGAGGCTGAGGCAGGAGAATTGCTTGAACCTGGGAGGCGGAGACTGCAGTGAGCTGAGATGGTGCCACTGCACTCCAGCCTGGGAGACAGGGAGACTCTGTCCCCAAAAGAAACTGACTAGGGCAGGCACCTCTGAGGATGAGGTGGGAGGAGAAGTCAGGGAAAGTTTCCTGAAGGAGGGCAGGGGCGAGGTGAGATGGGGGCTGGGTGGCAGGTGGCAGTAAGAGCTTGAGACAAGGGGTGGATGTGACAAAGTGTACGGCATAGTGCGAGAACTGCAAGCAGTGGGTTTGCTGGGGCACTGCATGTGAGATGGGGTGACCAAAGATGGGCCTAAAGGGGTGGAATCGGGTCAGACCATAGAGGCCTTTATTCCCTGAGTGGCTGGCTCATCACTCCTCCTCTCCTCCAGAGGCTGGGATGCCAACTACTGGATTCCTTAGCCTCCCTTGCAGTTAGCTGACGTGTGTGACATTCTGGACATGAGGTGGAGGCAGAAGTCTTCTAGAGTGGCTTTATGATAAAGCTGGTGCTTCCTTAAAAACCAGACAGATGCATTCTATCCCCTTTTTCCTGAAATCTAGAGGTGATAACTGGAGATAGAGCTCTCATCTCACAACCGTGAGGTAATAAGAATGAAAATGAAGGCTGTGATCCTCTAGAAAACAGAGCCTCAGGCAAAGATTAAAGTGTAAATACTTTATTTGGGAAATGCAATCAGGGTCACATTACGGTTTTTGAGGGCTCTAGGTACTTTTGATTTCATGGCCCCCTCCTTCATTAAAAAATGTTTAAAAATATATTTACAGGCCAGGCGTGGTGGCTTATACGCCTGTAATCCCAGCATTCTGGGAGGCCGAGGTGGGCGTATCACCTGAAGTTGGGAGCTCGAAACCAGCCTAACCAACATAGAGAAACCCTGTCTCTACTAAAAATACAAAATTAGCTGGGCATGGTGGCCCATGCCTGTAATCCCAGCTACTCGGGAGGCTGAGGCAGAATCCCTTGAACCTGGGAGGTGGAGGTTGTGGTGAGCCGAAATTGAGCTATTGCACTCCAGCTTGGGCAACAAAAGCGAAACTCTGTCTCAAAAAAAAAAAAAAAAATATATATATATATATATATATATATACACACACACACACACACACACACACACATATACATGGTATGGTGGCTTGTACCTGTAATCCCAGCTACTTGGAAGGCTGAGGTGGGAGGATGGGTTGAGTCCAGGAGTTCAAGACCAGCCTGGGCAACATAGCCAGACCCCATCCACATAAAAAAAATTAGCTGGTCAAGGTGGTGCATGCCTGTATTCCCAGTTATTCAGGAGGTTAAAGTGGGGAGGATGGCCTGAACCCAGGAGTTTGAGACTGCTGTGAGCTATGATTGTGCCAGTGCACTCTAGCCTGGGCAACAGAGTGAGACCTGGTTTCTTAAAAAAAGGAAAAGAAAAGAAAAGAAAAGAAAAAAACCGTGGAGGATGGAGTTGAGATGGTTTGGAGTTCCAGAAGGAGATAACAGAACAAAAAAGATACCTGCCCTTAGATCCAGGAATCTCAAAGAATCCCTAAGAGGATAAAAAATGAAAATATAAACTATACTGTATGTCTGTGCGTGTGTATCTATGTGTGTGTGTATATATATATACACACACATACGTATATATACGTGTATATATGATGTATATACATGTACATATATGTATATGGTGTGTGTATACATGGTGCGTATTTTATACATATATATGTATATACTGTATGTGTATAGATATATATATATACACACACACACACACCACAGACAGACATTAAACATCCAGAAAAAAAGATCATCTACAGAAAGACGATGCTGATAGCTAATTTCTTAACCACAGCAACAAAACAGAAGCCAAAAAAACACAATGGAATACGATCTATAATGTGTTGATAAAAATTGCATACCTGTTGAAACTATCTTTCAGAAGTGAGGATAAAATAAAGTCATTTTTCAGACAAAAACTGGGAGAGTTTATTAACACATTATCAGTAAATGCAGAAGGAAAATGATCCCATCTGGAATATCTGATTTGTAAAGAGTGACGGTGGGCAAAGAGTTTGGTAAGTATGACAGCAAATATAAATTAATGTTGTCTGTATAAAACCATAATTTAATTAATATTGGAAAGTCATATGATCTTTTTTATTTCTGGTTTTGAGACAAGGTCTTGCTTGGTTGCCCACTCTGGAGTACAGTGGCGTGATCTCGGCTCCCTGCAACCTCCGCCTCCCAGGTTCAAGCAATTCTCCTGCCTCAGCCTCTTGAGTAGCTGGGACTATAGGCACGTGCCACCACGCCCAGCTGATTTTTGTATTTTTAGTAGAGATGGGGTTTCACTATATTGGCCAGGATGGTCTCGATCTCTTGACCTCGTGATCTGCCCACCTTGGCCTCCCAAAATGCTGGAATTACAGGCGTGAGCAACCGCGCCCGGCCAGATGTCCATTTTTATCACCCGTATTCAACACTGTCTGGAGGTGCTTACCAGCACAGGTAGCACAAGAAAAAGGAAGAAAACCATCGTTATTTGTAGATAATATGATAGTCTATATAGAAATCCCTGCATAATCTATAGACAAATCATTAGAATTAATAATTTAGCAAATATGCTGGAAATAAACATTAATAAATAAAAGTCAACTGTATTTAATACAGTTTATTCCAACAGAATATTATGTGGTTGATAAATCTGACTTTATTAAAACTAATAATTTTTGTTCATCAAAAGATACTGTAAGGTGGGAGAAAAATGCCCCAAACTGGAAGAAATTATTTGCAAGACATATATATATCTGATAAATTATTGGTATACAGAATAAATTGTGCATGTAAAACAATAAAATTGCGAAAAATTTCCTGCACAACAAACTATAAAAAACAAGTAAAAGACTTGAACAAGGCATTTAACATACGACTAAATAGGAACAGCCCATAAACATGTAAACAGATACTCATCATCATTAACGATAGCAAAATGCAAACGAAAACCACAATTCCTTTTCTCAACTACTAGATTAGCAAAAAATTAGGAAGTTGGACAATACCAAGGGTTGGCAGGGTTGTTGAGGAATGAGAACTCTTATGCACTCCTGGTGGGAGTGTAAATTGGTACTATCATATTACTCAGTAAGTTTAGTCCTGGCCGTGTGTCCTAGAGAATCTGCACAAATAGACGAATGTATACGCATGCAAGAATGTTTATAGTAGTATAGTTTGTAATAGCATATGATTGTTATTTCCCAAATGTCCCTCAACACTAGAGTGAATACATATATTTGAGACATTATATTCATATGATGGAACACTACATAGCAATACAATGAACTTGGTTATATGTATCAAGATGCATGAATCTCAAAAGCATGATGTTGAACTGATGCAGCAGGACACGGAATACAGGGAGAAGCCCTAGAATTGGTAATATTCTATTTCCTATGCTGGTGGCTGGGTTCACAGAGCTACATTCTATTGTAATTCTTTAAATATTACATATATGTAGGGTACATTCTTTCGTGTGTCTATGTCACAATAAAAGGTGTCAATGCAACAAAAAATGGGAAAATGGATTCGGTTGTTGAAATCATGAATATCATCAACAGGACCACTGTGAACAAAAATAAGGGCTGTAATGTTATACAAATGGTTATTTGCAACTTGGGATAAAGTTTACAGTGTCTTCATCATACATAGATTCAAAAGGTGATGTAATGAAGGTGGCGTGCTCAGGAAAACTGTGTCAGACAACTCAAAAAGGGGCTCTGGTAATGACAAAGGCAATGATATTGAAGATACCAAAAGAGGGATTCTTAACATATTTTCCTGAAATTACAGTGAAAAAAGCACTTTTAAATTAACATTTTATATGTGATTTTAACTACGTATGCATGACTGATTAATCTAGTTTCATAATACAAGTCGCCATTTATTTCCTCTACCTTTATAATACTGCATATATATTCAAATTGGCCAAAATCTTTCTTTCCAATCATCATGCTGGGATTATGGGGTTATATGTGGCACATACCATTCCTGTATGTCAGGATGGAAAGGGTTTTTACCTGGAATGAATTTTTGCCATTTCTGATCCACATTGTACTTCACACAGTGATTTCCTGAAGGAAATATAATGATCTGTTCATCGAAGTAGAAGATATTGTTGGCCACGTGGGATCGAAGACCAAAAACATGCAGCGTCTGAGCTACCACGGCCGACATGATCTCCCGCCAAAGAGTTCTGCTGAACCACCAAGGCGGCGTTTCAGAGTGGAGAGCGTTGCCCTGCTCCGCCCCGACCCCGCCCCCGGCCCAGACACGCCCCGCCCAGCATCTAGGACACGCCCTCCCCGCTCCTTGCCCCTCCCCTTCCCCCTCCCCTTTCCCCTCCCCCGGGGTCCTCCTGCGCGCCACCGCATCCCCGCGTCTCCTTTTTCTGCCTTTTCCTTTGTACCCTCACTGCTACCAGCTCCTTCTGGCGACCCCCAGGTACCCGCTCCCACCTTTCACTTCTCTCTGGGTCAGCAGACCACGCATGTATCCACAGGCACTACCTGTGCGGATCCTAAGCAACCCGGGCACTTTCAAACGCCGTAGCGGTTCCTATAGCAACGACAAACCGGAAGTATGGTTTGCCGCCGGAAGCGGAAGCCCAATCAAAAGTTTAGCAGTAGCTGTGAGTTGCTGGCCCTGGTGCGACTCTGTGGCACGTGGAGCCACGGCCTGGGACTAGGGGGCTGAAGGCAGGCAGCGGCGGCCAGGGCCGCCCTCTGCTAGCCGCTTGGATCTCGGGATACCCCGCTTCTTCTTGTAGGTGTGGGACGTGCGTGCGGCGAGATGGACACTCCTCCGCTCTCGGATTCGGAGTCGGAATCCGATGAATCTCTTGTCACAGACAGAGAGGTAAGTCTCAGCAGAGCTCGCGGGGCTGGGCATGGGAGAGGGGGTCTTACACCCCTGGGAGTGACCGTGATTGTGTCCTGCAGTTGCAGGATGCGTTTTCCCGAGGGCTTCTGAAGCCAGGCCTCAATGTCGTGCTAGAGGGGCCGAAGAAGGCCGTGAACGACGCGGTGAGCGCGGGCATAGGGTCGGGGGTACTCGGACTTGGGATGCGCACCAGCCGCTGTTGGGCTTGGGAGACCGATTCTTGTCCCAGGAAAGATGCACCCTGAGCCTTGCCAAGAGGGTCTATTACCTGTCTGCGTATTGGGGATTAGCGCTTTGTCCCTTTGCCTAACAGCCTGTGCTTGGGAAGAACAAACTCAGAGTCCCCTTCTTATGAGCTCAGTGTCTGGATTTCCTAGAATGGCCTGAAGCAATGTTTGGCAGAATTCAAGCGGGATCTGGAATGGGTTGAAAGACTCGATGTGACACTGGGTCCGGTGCCGGAAATCGGTGGATCTGAGGCGCCAACACCTCAGAACAAGGACCAGAAAGCTGTTGATCCAGAAGACGACTTCCAGCGAGAGATGAGTTTGTATGTTTTCAAATGTTGGAGAAGTTGAGGATCCTTGTGCAGGAGAGTGGGAAAGGGGAAATTAGTAAGCCTGCACTCAGAATAAGCTTAGGGGTAGGGAGAGCAGCTTCTTTTGACTAAGAATAGCTAGGAGATTCTCGCTGTTTGAGAGGAGAGCTCCTTGGTCCACAGTCACGATTCAAAGTCCAGTTTAGGGACTAATTTGAAATATTCATGTTAAAGCTTTTTGTGCATGCTTCAGTTAAAAAAAAAAACAACAAAAAAAACCTTGCTTATGGGATGTTCTTGTGTGGAATTGCTTTAGTAATTACGTAAGAATCCATAATCGACATTAGTTTGTGTTAATGGGTACCTTTAGAGTAGTCATTCTCTTAAAACTATTTTTAGCAATACCCCTCCCCTTTTTAAAAACTGGTATATGTCTACATTTCTTTTAGATACTAAATCAGTGAGGTTTGGTGACAGTTTTTGTTTGTTCTTGCTAATGGAGGTCAGATTTTGAGAGTCCTTCTGAGCTTGGATAACTCATGAGAGGCAGTGAAAAGGAACGTAAGGCCTCTCTCCTTCACCTCATTACACATTTTGTCCCACAATTCTCAGCTACCGCCAAGCCCAGGCCGCAGTGCTTGCAGTCTTACCCCGCCTCCATCAGCTCAAAGTCCCTACCAAGCGACCCGCTGATTATTTTGCAGAAATGGCCAAGTCTGATCTGCAGATGCAGAAGGTAAGAAATAGAAATATTCCTCTGGAAAGCCAAAATTTTGTACTTAAGCATATTCAGCTGGCTTAGAAAGATAGCTGTGAGCGCAATAATGGGGAGCCAGTTGTCAGAGGACAATTATTACCTCTTCCATAGATTGACTACTTCAGAGTCATGCCAGTTACCACCAATTAGATGCATATGACATTTTTTCTAAAATCAGCAATTAAGGAGAGGAACAGTGCTGTGAGAAGTGTAGTCCTTGAGGTGAAGATGGCCCATTGCATTTCCTAGCTGGCTTGGTCATGGCATGGTGTGCAGAGAAGACAGCATTCTTGTGCCCTTGCCACTGGTAGTGCTAGAACTTGTAGACAATTACTTTTCTCTGGGCCTCAGTTTTCTCCTTTATAAAATGAGGGATTCTTAGATGGTTCAGATACAGTACAATTTAGAGTTGGGTAGAACTTGGACCTCATTTAACTTTGAAGGAGGGGATTGCCAGCATGTAACCAAGATATACTCAGCCCTCCATAGCCATGGGTTCAGCATCTGTGGATTCAGCCAACCTCAGATCAAAAATATTTGAGAAAAAAATTTGAAAATGTTGGAAAAAGAAAACTTGAATTTGCCATGTGCTGAGAACATTGAATCTGTGAGAATGACATGATGCGTAGCATTGAATTCAGTATTATAAGTAATCTAGAGACTATTTAAAGCAGTGGTCTGGCAACAGGGACCGGTTTCGTGGATGACAATTTTTTCATGAACTGGGGGAGGGGATAGTTCCGGGATGAAACTGTTCCACCTCAGATCATCAGGCATTAGATTCTCATAAGGAGCACACAACCTAAATCCTTTGCATGCTTTCACAGTAGAGTTTGGGCTCCTATGAGAATTTAATGCAGCCGCTGATCTGACAGGAGGTGGAGCTCAGGTGGTAACGCTCGCTTGCCTGCCACTCACTTCCTGCTGTGCGGCCTGGTTCCTAACAGGCCACAGATTCATAGCAGGTTCATGGCAGTCTGTGGCCCAGGAGTTGAGGTCCCCTGACTTTATACTGGAGGCGAGTGTAGGTTATATGCAAACGCTACACCATTTTTATATAAGGGACTTGAGCATCTGTGGATTTTGATGTCTGTAGTGGGTCCTAGAACTTATCCTCTATGGATACTGAGGGATGAGTATATTTAAATAGTACCCTGGGGTCTCAAACTGGATTTTAGGGAGCTTTTGTCATGGTAGTAGTTCACCTTCTCACTGTGAACTCTGTACAAGTTCTCACTGACAACTTCTCGTCCTTTAACTAAAATGTGTATGTTTGACTGAAAAGGCTAGGCACCTGATATCTGCGTGGATTTTTATTGTGTATGTGGTGTACTAGAAAAGGACACTGAGGCCGCATACTGGTTTCCAGCCTCAGTCTACTGACAGTAGAAATGGGGAGAAGTTTGTCTTCTTTCCTGGGCTTCAGACAGGCAGTTTGTAAAATGAAACAGACAGCACACTGGAATTGGGAAGGTGACTTTCAATCTCTGGCTTCACTCTGACACTTTTGGTAAAGTGCTCAGCCTGTGGGCCCCATTGTCCTCAGGGGTTGGAATTGATGATTTACAAGTTGCATAGTTTAAAGAACAGGGAATATCTGTTCCCTGCTCTAGTGCATCCTAAGTAGTGGTCATTCCAGATTCAAATAACATAAACTGACAGCGTTTTGTGTTGTAGATTCGACAGAAGCTGCAGACTAAACAGGCTGCCATGGAGAGGTCTGAAAAGGCTAAACAACTGCGAGCACTTAGGAAATACGGCAAGAAGGTGAGAAGGAAAGTGTGCAGGGAACAGGAAGAGGCGGAGTGTGTGTGTTAGATGAGATTGCCGTGGTCTGACGTGGTCCCCTGAACTGAATGGAGCTGTGTGTTGATCGTGTGTTTACCATCTCTCAGTGTATGTGCTGGTATTCATGAGCACAGTCTTGCCTGGACATGAATGCTTCCCCAGGAGTAGTATGGTGACTGCAGGCGAGCCAGTCACCTCTCTGGTCTTCAGTTTTCATTATCTATACACTGGGTCCAGATGAGTGGTTTCCAAACCAGACCTCAGCAAAATCACCAGGGGAAGTTTTTCAAAACAGAATTCTAGACTTCAGAATCCCCGGGCATCTGTGTCTGTTTTCCCCCTTCTCCAAAAGCTTTCCAGGTGATTCTGAAATGCATCCTGGTTTGGGATTCACTGGCCTATGTGATAATCATGTCCCTGAAGAAATTATCCTAATGATTGTCGTCCAGTCTGAAAGATTGCCTGTGTGTTTGAACTGTGAATGTCTAAGTTCTAATGTAACACCAGATCAGGCATACCCTGAAACTTTTCTTGGTTTTCCTTTTTTATTTCATGGTCATCTAAGAACGAAGATGACGGGTTTTAAAGTTAGGATTGTGGGAAGACATGAATGTGAGGAAGATTGGCGTGGGTGTTAAGACTTTGTCAACATTTGGACAGAAGCAGTTGTGATCTGGGTTGCAGGACTCTTGTCCACATTTGGGGTCGTTTCACTGATACATTCTCAGCAGAGTAAGAATAGGCTGGGATCCTGTCCTCTACAAAAGGCCTGCTGCGGATTTATTATTTCTTTGATCTGGAGGTGGATGGTTGAGATTCTCTCAAAGACACCAATAAGTAATTTAACATAACGAAAATTACCAAAAGCAAAGACAAACTCACTTGGGCCTTTTAGTTCACTGTTCCTAATTTAAGGAAACATTGGGGAAGAGGTTGTCAACTGGGGTGAATTTGCTCCCTAGGAGTTTTCTGTGACTGCCTGGTGATATTTTTAGTTGTCAAATTTGGGAGGGAGGGTACTACTGGCATCTAGTAGGTAGAGGGCAGGGGTGCTGCTAAATATCCTACAGTGCAGGACAGGCCCCTACGCCCCAGCAAAGAATTATTCTCTCCACACTGTAGCAGTATCAAGATTGAGAAAACCCCTGTTAGAGTATTATAAAGTATCTCCTTTTATCCTTCAAACTTTTTTCTTTTCTTTTCCTGGGGACATTGTTTTTTTCTCTTCCTTTTGGTTACTTTCATACCTAGTTACAGTGGGTTAAATAATCTGTCCAAATGTGATGTGAAAATTGATGTAGTCTTAAACATGATTTGCTTCAGTTTTGTAGGCAGGATTGTATAATAGGATGAGTGCTGGCTTTGGAATCAAACAGCCTGGGTCATCTCAGCTGTGCACTTTTTCACTATGCAACTTGGGCAAGTTAACTTCTCTGTGCTTCAGTTTAGGGGATAACACAAATTTCAACTTCACTACATTGTTATGAGACAGATATATCTTCATCTATGAAGAATATACCTAGATCTGAGAATATACTTAGAGTCCCTAACACAGTTTTTGGCACATAGTAAATGTCAAAGGGTAGCAGCATTAATCATGGTGTTGCTCTTAAGACAATGTAGATACTGGAGTAATGGTATGGAATAGCTGTTAACAGTCCTTGTGTTCATATCACAGGTGCAAACGGAGGTTCTTCAGAAGAGGCAGCAGGAGAAGGCACATATGATGAATGCTATTAAGAAGTATCAGAAAGGTTGGTACATCTCTCTGCTAGGGGAAGAAGGGTAGCAGGTACTTTAGAGTTGATTTGGACACTTAGTGCTTTGGAGCCTTCTTGGTTGATGTGGACCTAGGTTTTGGGAATGGTGTTGGAGAGCAGGATGTGACTGTTAAAATCAGTGTAGCAAATAATAGCCTCATATGGTGGTTTAAACTTTTCTTCTTAAAATACAGTGGTGCTGATCACAATTACTTCTTCACTTACAGGCTTCTCCGATAAACTGGATTTCCTTGAGGGAGATCAGAAGCCTCTGGCACAGCGCACGAAGGCAGGAGCCAAAGGCCAGCAGATGAAGAAGGGGTGAGAAGTGTTTTGGCATGGTGTCTTTGGATCCCGTGAGGTGTGATGGGGCCACAGGTCACAAGGATGGCAGACATAGCACCTCCACCAGCACAGCCATAGAGTCCAGACAGTGCAGCTGCTGCCTGTGGCCGAGACCCCTAGCACTGTGTGATGGGCCCTTTTAGCCATGCCAGTCTTTGAAGAGTAAAAGAAGGCACTTTTTAAACTTGTGGTTTTTGGACAGAGTCTCAGTCTGTCACCCAGGCTACAGTGCAGTGGTAGTCTTGGCTCACTGCAACCTCCACCACCTGGGTTCAAGTGATTCTTGTGCCTCAGCCTCCTGAGTAACTGGAACTACAGGTGTCTGCCACCACATCCAGCTAATTTTTGTATATTTAGTAGAGGTGGGGTTTCGCCATGTTGGCCAGGCTGGTCTTGAACTCCTGGCCTCAAGTGATTCACCCACTTCAGCCTCCCAAAGTGCTGGGATTATAGGTGTGAACCACTGCACCCATCCCAAGAAGGTACTTTTAAGTATGTGGCACCCTTTAAGTGAATGCCGAGTAAAAGTTGATTCCTCATCACACAGTGTGATGGTCGAGAGTTCAGACTTAGGGTTCAGATCCCGACTCTACCACTCAGTAGGAGGGCAGTTTTGAACAAGTTACCATACCTTTCTAAATGCTAATTGCCTCATCTGCTAAGTTGAGGAAATAGTGTCTGCCTCATAGTATGAAGATTAAAAGAGAGAATGTGGGCTCTCATTGTTCTTTCTAGTCCACTTTTTTGCATACCTGGATACCAGGCCTAGGGGAAATGATAATTTCCATGTAAGATAGTAAGTGCTATGATAGAGGCATTTGGGGATTAGTACTGAGGCAGCTTTTATAAATACCTGACAGGGTCTGGGGATGGGTTTCTGGAGGAGGGTTCGACTTGAGCATTGCTTGAAGCATGAGTAGGAATTAACCACGAGAATAGAAGAGAAGCTGGGTTTGGGAAGAAGTGAAAGCCTGAAAGAGCAAAGCCATCGAGATGTGAAATCTCAGGGGTTTGTGAGGAACAGTAAGCCCTTGGTGTCACTGGGAATACAGTGCAAAGCAAGGAGGGGTGCGATGTGGCTGGGGGGACCTGGGCTGTGGGTTTGCCTTGTTGAGGAGCTTGGGCTTTGTCTAGAAGGCAGTAGAGAGACTAAGTTGTAGGTTGTACTAATAATAATGAGCAGGTTATATTCATGTTTTTAAAAAGATTACAGTGGATTTTGTATAGGTGACAGACTTGAGGCAAGCTGAGAAAATGACAAGGAGACTATTGCAAAAGTCCAGATGAAAATGATAATAATCTGAAAGTGGCAACTGAGGGAGAAGAGAAGATGGATTGAAGAAACATTGAAGAGGTGAAATGAGCAGGACTTAGTAATTGACTTGGGTATAAAGAGTGAGAGAAGAACCAAGGCTGACTCTCACATGTTTGACCTGTGTGTCTGGGTTGGTGGGAGCAGTGCCAGCCTCAAGTGAGGGCATATGTACAGCAAGTAGAGCCAGTCCAGGAGATGACATGAATTTGGAGATGCTGAATTCAAGATTCCTATTGGATGACCAGTTTTACATTTGAATGTTATTCCATTTGAATGTTATTCGAATGCCTATAATTACATTTGAATGTTTACATTTGAATGTATTCATTTCATTACATTTGAATGTTACAAATGTAACATTAGATTTGGATGTGAACTGCATGTATTTACCCTTGAGAGGAATAGACACAACTGAGGGTGATTTAACAAGATTTGGTTAAAATAGAAAGCTTGCTTTTTTTTTTTTTTTTTTTTTGAGACAGAGTCTTGCTCCGCCACCCAGGCTGGAGTGCAGTGGCGTGATCTTGCTCACTGTAAGCTCCGCCTCCCGGGTTCACGCCATTCTCCTGCCTCAGCCTCCTGAGTAGCTGGGACTACAGGCACCCGCCACCACGCCTGGCTAATTTTTTGTATTTTTTTAGTAGAGACGGGGTTTCACCGTGTTAGCCAGGATAGTCTTGATCTCCTGACCTCATGATCCACCCGTCTCAGCCTCCCAAAGTGCTGGGATTACAGGCGTGAGCCACCGCACCTGGCCTAAAATAAAAAGGTTTCTAAAGACAGCAGGAAGCCACATGATACATGTAGAGCCTTCCCTGCTTGTTGCTTTATTTTCCTGCCCTGGTGGTCAGAACTGTAAATAGACGAGCTAGATAAGTTTGTCTAGAGAGGCTGTAGCATAGGATTGTGGGGCCAAGGATGAGATTCTGGGTTACAGACGTGCCTAAGGGGCTTTGCTTATAGAAAGGAAACTGAGAGCATTGCTGGGCCATCAAATTCATGAGAGTTTACAGTGCTGTGGGTGATGTCTAGGACCATTCTTTTCCAGGCCCAGTGCTAAACGACGGTATAAAAACCAGAAGTTTGGTTTTGGTGGAAAGAAGAAAGGCTCAAAGTGGAACACTCGGGAGAGCTATGATGATGTATCTAGCTTCCGAGCCAAGACAGCTCATGGCAGAGGCCTCAAGAGGCCTGGCAAGAAAGGATCAAATGTAAGTGAGCCCAGGTGTCCGGGTGAGGAGCAGGCTCAGCCTCCCCTCCCACTCCCAACCCTGCCCTCTCCCTTCAGTTATGTTCGTCCTCACCTGGGGCAGAAGGCAAGCTGCTATGTGACCAGATGTGGTATATCTTTTTCTGTAGAAGAGACCTGGAAAACGAACGAGAGAGAAGATGAAGAACAGAACGCACTAAACAGCATCTTTGAATACAAAGAACCAAGAAAAAGGAATGAAGACTCACAATTTCACAACACACTTTGATCCCTTCTGTTGGTGTCATGTTGTAAACATTTCTTTTAATAAACTAAATAAAAATTATTAAAGAACACATACCTTTGGTTAAATAGTCCAGACTAAAAGATTGAGAAGTTACTTTGCATTGCTATCTATTGATAATTTAGACATTGAGTTCAAATTGCCTTCATTTTGTGATAAATGGTTTAACTGACACCTCCCTCATTTCTTAGGCCTCATCCTTCTAAGTAGTTATATTACAATCAATCCCCGTAAAGCTCAATGCCCATATTTTACAGGCGTGAGCCACCGTGATTTTCTTTGTGGTACAGCTTTTGGTTTTTCCTCCAGTTAACTTTCACCTTACATTCTTCTGCTTGCCTAATTTTCCTTCTGTATTCTTAGTTCTTTCCAGATGCTTTATCATCTTACCCACTTTATACTTTTTCTCCTACAACCTAGTTACGCCACACAACTGTCTCTTTTTTTCTAGACCTTCTAAGTTGGTGCCATTATTTCCAGAATCCCATATTTTCCCATCTTAGCATATGCCTTCTTTTGCTGTGTACCATTTTTTGGTACCTTACTAAGAAAGGGAAAATAAGAGGTAAACTTTTTATCTCCTTACATTTCTGAAATTGCCTTTAATTTGGGCTGATAGGAATTTCCTCCTTAGAATTTTAGAATTTCACAGGCACTGTTTCTAAGTTGTATTTCAGTTCTACTTTTGGGAGAGAGATTTCTTTGATTTTTAAATTTATTTTTATTTTTATTTTTTTTTGAAACAGTCTCACTCCATCGCTCAGGCTGGAGTGCAGTGACACAATCTCGGCTCACTGCAACCTCCACTTCCCGGGTTCCAGCGATTCTGCCTCAGCTTCCTAAGTAGCTTGGATTACGGGCATGCGCCACCACACCCAGCTAATTTTTGTATTTTTAGTAGAGACAGGGTTTCACCATGTTGGTCAGGCTAGTCTTGAACTCCTGACCTCAGGTGAACCACCTGCCTCTGCCTCCCAAAGTGCTGGGATTACAGGTGTGAGCCACTGTGCCCGATCTAAAATCATTTTATTGAATATGTATTTTAGCTTTCATTTCATTTATCCCCCAAGAGTTCCTTATTCTCAAATTGGTCATTTTTCATATCATTTTATTCTCTAGATGCAGTATCTTATATCTCTCAGGATATGATTATAATTCTAATTTTTTGATAAAGTTTCCTTCTGTTCCCTTCATTCTGTTTCTGCAGTCCGTGCATTTTGATCTCCCCTTTCCCATGTTTGAGCAGTAGAGTATTGTAGAAGCTAAGAAGCGTGGACTCTGGGGCCTGGCTCTGTTGCTTAGTTGCTGTTTGACCATAGGGAATTTAATTTGTATTTCCTGTGTCATCTCTGGCATAATATAGATGTATCTACCTCATTGGGTTCCCGTCAGCATTGGGTTAATCAACGTAAAACACTTAGAACATTGCCTGCCATATAATTAAAACATTATCCTAATATAACACGATAATCTGATAATCCCCTTTGATTAGGATTATTTTGCTGGGGTTTCTTTCCTTAATATCTGGCAAGCCTTGGTTGTTCATATTTGAGAAGTACTAGCATAGGCGGAAGCTCTGTGTAGGTGGTACGTTGAGTAGGCAGGCCACATTAATTGTTGGGCTTTACTCTGTGTTGATAGAGTGGTAAGCCATTTTACCTGCCCCTTCTCTCTCCATTCCAGTTTAGAAACCATATTTTATTTTTAAGGAAGTTAGAAATGCCTAAGAGCTATATATATCTTTGGCAGAAAGAATAACTTATTTTCACATTTTCTTGTAGCATTATTGGCACATGAAAAGGATATTTCTGGATTCATATAATACTAAGATTGTAATGTAGAACAAAGATAATTTAGTTTTTATAAACTAATTTCAACTAACAAAACTGGTCACACAGGTCACATGTCAAGAAGACAAAAATATTTACTCTGTCCTCTTTCATAATTCATGCCATATTATTGCATGGGGATAATGTATAACAGGCTCAGAAGCAGTTAGAGACTGAATTATGCAAGTAACACAGAGTTTCACAAAAGGAGAACACAGGTTAACAACATTTCACACTGATAAAGCCAAAGCCAAAAGTGAGTTACTAATGCAACATACTTTTACAGGCTTTGAAAACTATGCCCCCCCCTTTTACTTCCTTGGTGTTTTTCTTTTTTATTATAGAGCAAAGATTTACATATGGAATCACTTTCCTTAATTTTAGAAATATCCTTTGTAGAACTTATTTACATCACTTCTACCATTCTGACCTTCAAAATAAAGGATGTTCAAGGTGCAGGTAGCATTATGTCTTCTTTTTCTTTTGTAAAAACAAGGTCTCACTCTGTTGCCCATGCTGGATTACAGTGATATGATCATAGCTCACTGTAGCCTCAAACTCGTGGGTTCAAGCAATCCTCCTGCCTCAGCCTCCCAACTAGCTGGGTCTACAGGTGCATGCCACTATGCCTGTCTAGGTTTTTTTTTTCTTTTTAATTTTTTGTAGGGACAGGGTCTTGCTCTACTGCCTAGGCTGGTCTCAAACTCCTGGGCTTAGGCAATCCTGCCTCGGCGTCACAAAGTGCTGGGAATACAGGTATGAGCCACTGCACTCAGCCTCCTTCATATTGCTTTAAAATAAATACAATCCCATTCATTGAAAAATAAGTAGGAACTTAGGAGTCCCCAGTACAGATTCTAATATGCATGAATTCAGTTATCAGGATGTAATTAAGTAAGTTTCTCACCAACAATGTTCACATTTCAGTTACCGAAGTAATAACTGAGTAATTGCATAAAGTAGAAATAGTCGCCGCTAGCTCTTTAGTCCACAAATCACTCCATACATGACAGATGCATGAAAACTAATGACCATCACTTCTTTCAAAGTCTGTCCAAAATCAGCCACTGCATCTGTTATTCATTTCACACACACACACAGCAAAGTGTGTAGTTGTGTTGCCTCTGTCTTTAGCAATAAACTCATGCATTTTATAGAGTTGAAAGGGAATTGACCACCAAGGATTAATGTACACCAAAGAAACAAAAAATGATAGGGCACAGTGACTCATGCCTGTAATCCCAGCACTTTGGGAGGCCATCTGAGCCCAGGAGTTAGAGACCAGCCTGGGCAACACAGTGAGACCTCTCTACAAAAAATTTTTGGCCGGGCGCGGTGGCTCATGCCTGTAATCCCAGCACTTTGGGAGGCCGAGGCGGGCAGATCACGAGGTCAGGAGATCGAGACCATTCAGGCTAACACAGTGAAACCCCGTCTCTACTAAAAATACAAAAAATTAGCTCGGCGTGGTGGTGGGTACCTGTAGTCCCAGCTATTCAGGAGGCTGAGGCAGGAGAATGGCGTGAACCCGGGAGGCGGAGCTTGCAGTGAGCTGAGATGGCACCACTGCACTCCAGCCTGGGCGACAGAGTGAGACTCCATCTCAAAAAAAAAAAAATTTTTTTTTTTAATTGGCCAGGCATTGGTGGTGTGCACTTGTCCCAGCTACTGAGGAGGCTGAAGTGGGAGAATATCTTGTGCTTGGGAGTTTGAGGCTGCAGTGAGCCATGTTTGTGCCACTGCACTCCAGTTTGGGTGATAGAGTGAGAACCTGTCTCAAAAAACTCAAAAAAAAAAAAAATTTTTTTTTTTTTTTTTTAATGGTGAGACTGGAAGTAAAATTTGAGTGTAACGCAAATGGAATTGTAGATGAAATAGCTGATACTGGTCTGTGAATGCTGTTGCCGTTCTAGAGACTAGATATACAGCCAGAGAAACCTTGTGAAGGCAAACTTAACAAATGAGGAAAGAGATGAAAAGGATGAAGATGTCTCCAGGGAGTGACACTAGTGAAAAACTTCACATTAAAGTGACTCTTGGAGATATGTAATGACACTGGAAGATCAAGTGATAAAATGTTGGAACTAAATCCAAACTTAGAAAGGAGTAAGGACAATTTGCCAAGGCATGGAAAAGATGCTTGTTCTATACTGTAAGTTATAGAAGGGAAAAAAGTAGACAAGCATGGTTTTTCATACAGAAATAAAACACTTGATTCTCAATGTTTCTATTGTTTTAGTCTACTAAATATTACTATTTTAATTTTGTTACGCATTGAACAGAGTTTTTAATACTTTCACACAATTTTTTTTCATTGTTTAGTTTTCGTTTCTAAGGCTTAAAGATTCATACTTTTTCTTTTCTTTTTCTTTTTCTTTTTCTTTTTTTTTTTTGAGACAGAGTCTCGCTCTGTCGCCCAGGCTGGAATGCAGTGGTGCGATCTCGGCTCACTGCAAGCTCCGCCTCCTGGGTTCTCGCCATTCTCCTGCCTCAGCCTCCTGAGTAGCTGGGACTACAGGCTCCTGCCACCACGCCTGGCTAATTTTTTGTATTTTTAGTAGAGACAGGGTTTCACCGTGTTAGCCAAGATGGTCTTGATCTCCTGACCTTGTGATCTGCCTGCCTTGGTCTCTCAAAGTGCTGGGATTGCAGGCATGAGCCACTGCACCCGGCCAGATTCATACTTTTTAAAAGGACTTTTGGACAATTTTTCTTTAAAGGTCACAGAACAATTGTAATTTTCCCCCAATGATGATTAAGATCGCTTTGCATAGTTTCAGCAAGCAGGACATTTTTGTAGTCCTGCACTATTGTGCAAAGTGAAGACTGACTATATATGCTTTTTTAGATGAGTATACAAAGTAACAGCTTTCTGTTTTTTGGGCAGAGTTGGGAAGGAGATGAAAGCAGAAAATGTGGTTGCTCTCTTTGCAGGAACAGAGCTACAGAAGCATATTGATTGCTTTCAGAGCACAGCCTTGTGATGAAAACATTCAGGCATTTAATCTATTTTATAATTTACACTGGATCATAAAACTAGACTCACCTTTCTGCATATCAACGAATCCACTTTTTATGCTGTTCTGAAAATTTAAATATTCATGAAGATGAATTCAAGTGTAATTATAAGAGGTACCTTTTTCACATTGAAGACTAGATGTCAAATAATGTTCCAGAACCTTTTGGTACAAGATTTTTTTGTTGTTGTTTGTTTGTTTTTTATTTTTTGAGACAGAGTTTCGCTCTGTCACCCAGGCTGGAGTGTAATGGCATGATCTTGGCTCACTGCGACCTCTGCCTTCTGGGTTCAAGTGATTCTCCTGTCTCAGCCTCCCAAGTAGCTGGGATTACAGGCACCCACCACCAAGCCCAGCTAATTTTTGTAGTTTTAGTAGAGATGGGGTTTCACCATGGTGGCCAGGCTGGTCTTGAACTCCTGACCTCAGGTGATCTGCCCGCCTCGGCCTCCCAAAATTCTGGGATTACAGGTGTAAGCCACCGCACCACGCCAGGCCTATGATCTTTAATTGGAAGTCATTGGACCTCAACTGCATACATGTAAACTAACTCTTCTGGGCAATCAGAAATTATATCTGATCATTATCCTGTATATTACCTACTACATTGCTGGTTGGACTACTTCCAGTACTAGATATGCAGTTTTGCTATAGATGATGGTAGCTATGATGATACCAAAGAAAAGGCTCTTTTTAGCCCAACAAAAATTTTAAAAGAACATTGAAAACAAGCAGAGTGGATACATAAGAATTATGCATGTGCTCATGGAAAAGCAATTTCAAACAGACATGTAAAGGAAAATGAACCTATTCTATTCTGATATAAAAACAATGCACAGTATTTCATTTGCATTTTAAAAAACAGAACCAAGATTATGTGCAGCATTTACAAGTATCTTACCTTGAATCACAGTGCAGGATTCCACTGCTCCCCATCAATGTACTCTGAATTTAATATGGGCTTCTGTGATATAAAATGGGGCAAATCTGCTGAGACTTGCCCTCAGGGTTTCCTTCCTTAACCAAACCCTATTACATATTGCAGGGTCCATGGCCTTCTTCTCAAAACAAAGAATTAAAATAAAAATCGAGATCCTAAGACAAAACATACCTAACTCTTTTTAAATAATGAGCAATGATTTCTTGTCATTAGATGCATTCCCCCTCACTCAGGAATAAGAGATCTTTAACGGTTTCTTCTTTATCCGCTTAGGCCAAAGAAAAAGCCAAAGTGATCACTATATATTAAAATTTAGATATTAATTTTATTTTCTCTAAGTTTTTATACTTCCTAGTTTTAAAAAAAATGCCAAAATGTTCATGTTCCGGTTTTCTATGGTTTAAATAGCAACTTAGGATGGCAACATTGGCTTCTGCGGTTTTACAAAGACAACTCCCTTGGCGTAATGGCCAACAAAGGATCTAGCCTGATGGCAGCTGGGAACAAGTCTAACTTTCTGGAACTCATCAGTTGAGGCTTCAGTGGCAGCACACTTCTTTTCATTGGCCTGCTCCATTATCTCGTGAGTTGCCTCTTTGATTTCATTTCCACCCCAGCTCTTTTTTTTTTTTTTGAACCTCAGTGCCTGGCTCAATGACATCTTTATGATCAGTTCCTAGATTACTTTCCTTACCTGCTGGCCCTTCTGTAAAGATTCCTTGGACTTCCTTCTGCCCCCTCCTCTCCTTGGCATCCTCTTTAAGAAGCTAAGCCTCCTTGAGGAAGAGATGGTATTGGATCCCTTGGGCCCTCCACACTTTCCTCAGGGACGTGCAGCAGTTGGGGATGCAGGAGACCAGATTTCTGCTAACACAGCCCCACCCAGTCATTTGGTCACTCTGGAAAGATCTGTGGCCCACATGGCCCTGCAGAGGTGGCACACTGGCTGCAGAGGCTGAGCAGAAGCTGAGGTGGCTGCAACTCTGATGCATGTGGTAGCTCAACAGGATGAGGTCCAGGAGGAACGGTTCGTAGCAGGAAGGGGAAAAAGGAAACTGACTTCCCTGCTTCTTTCCTTAAAGGTCTCTCAAATGGTACTTTGTGGGGGTCTCTAGAGAAGTTTCATTATTTTTCCAGAGGGGAACACTCCATCTTCAAACCTAGAGTAAAAATGTAGTATATGTGTGGGTGGGCACCTGGGCTAGGGTTCAGCCTTCCTTTTGTAGATTTTCACAGATTGTTTTCAGCTCCATGCCTGACTCATGCCTTGTGTTTTAGTATCCCTGAGCCCTGGGCTTCTCCTCTTCCCCCAAGAATAACCCCCCAGCCTCCAGCGCGGGGGAGATGTTATAAACCTGATTCCTTGTGTGTGTGGGGGTGGGATTACCCCTACCCACATCCAATTTCAGTTCTCTGCTTCACATCCCACTCTGTCTCAGAGTCCTGAACCTCTGTCTAGAGTTCTGGAAGGCCTGTGCTCAGAGGCGTTCCATCAGCTTGCATTTTGTGGTTCCTGCCATCCTCCTCCATCAGTTTTCTATCTCCTGAACACACTTCCAGTTTTTTTCTGTTGGTAACCTTTTCCTTCCATTCTCTCAGTGGTGGGTTTTGTATCCCTTTGTGATCCTTTATTAGTATTAGGAAGGCAGAGCAGATGATTGTGTGCAATTAGCCCACCATCTTTATCTGATTTCTCACTTTACTTTACCACACAAGGATTTCAACCAGTGGACTCAGCCAGAAATGAGAAAAGTGAGACTTGACTTTAAAGTTATATTTTATTTCTCTGGGCTGTGCACACTTAGGGCATTAGATCCACAGATGGGCTCCTCTGCTGGGATGCTACTTGTGGCGATCATCTCCTAAGCCCCATGTTTTAGCCTTGTACAGAGTGATGTCACTGCAGACCCTGAAGTGATTCAGCCTGCGGTCATGGCGTTCTGGGTTGACCTAGAAAGGAGGATGCAGAATCAGGAAGAAGTCTGTGAGGATGCAGGAGGACCTGGGTTTGGAGTCAATGGACTTGGCTTATATCAGGCTTCACCCTCCTGACCTGTGGCTGCATTGTGGAATGGAGATGACCACATGCACATCAAAAAGGTTGTGAGATCGGAGGAGAATAACCTATGCATGGTTGTGGTCTTCCCTGTCCCACTGCCTGACTTGGATGCCACAGTATCCTCAGCACCTAGAGCAAGACCCAGTGCACACTAGGTATTCAATGCATATTTGCTGAAAGAATGAATTTGTTGAAAGAGTCACATAGAACCTGAGTAATAGTCAGCACTCCGACACATCGATCTTATAGAAGTAACACCGTGCAAATAATTTTAAAAATGTATTTCCAGAAAATATTACCAGGAGATGAGAGGCCGAGTGATGGTCCTTGAGTCTGGCTTTGCCAGTGTCCCAATACTGAGGTGGAGGTATCTTGTCTATCCAAGGTGAGGCCCTGCCAGTGGGCAGGGAGCTTCCAGTTGCTGCTGATCAAGCCCCAACTACTTCACTCTGAAGCTCCAACTTAGTTACCTCTTCTGGTTGCACAGCACCTGCATCTAATGGTTTTTAAGGTACACTTTCTTACTATGCTAACAGTGGCCTCTGATGGCATTGTCCTCAGGTTTATGATGATGAACAGCATGGAATATTTGCAGACCCTTTGCAACTCCAGAGTGCTCACTGATCTGGAGACACATGCCATCTGTGATCTGCAGAGCCTACGAAGGTCTGAGCAGGGCAGGCCACACTTGTCCTTCCTGTCATCGTAAGCCTGCATGAGATGTCCTGGAGGGTCAAAGATGCAACATCTCCACATGCACACTTTGTACTTGTGTGAGCCAGGTCTTTACTCTTTTTTTTTTTTTTTTTTTTTTTTTTTTTTTTTTTAGACAGAGTCTTGCTCTTTATCCCAGGCAGGACTGCAGTGGCATTATCTCAGCTCACTGCAAGCTCCACCTCCCGGGTTCACGTCATTCGCCTGCCTCAGCCTCCTCAGTAGCTGGGACTACAGGCGCCCACCACTGCACCTGGCTAATTTTTTGTATTTTTAGTACAGACGGGGTTTCACCGTATTAGCCAGGATGGTCTTGATCTCCTGACCTTGTGATCTGCCTGCCTCGACCTCCCAAAGTGCTGGGATTACAGGTGTGAGCCACTGCGCCTGGCCTGTCTTTACTCTTTAACAAAGTGAAGAGTGGTGAATTAATTTACTTGTGCGTTGTACTATTTTTCTAAGTTGCTTTGTGATCTATCTTGGCTGATTTCTATCTTCATGCCAACACTCCTTCCTTCACAACCTTTCTTCTCCCTAGCAAAGATTTTTTCCTTGAGCAAACTCTATTCAGGCTCCCTGAACTACTTTTCAACCAGGTCTGAGGTTGGGATTTCCATTTCCTCTGCATTGTCCAATTCTAGCAAAAATCCTGCCAAGGTGATTTAACCAGAACCCCCCCACCTTTCATATCTGATCACCCTTGATATCCGATTGGGTTCCTCATCCTCCACCACTCTCCAGGGGATGTCTGATCCTGCTAGCCTGCCTTCAGCAAGCTCCCTGTTAGGTGGAAGTTAGCCAGAATCTACCCCTACCCCTGATGTTTCCTCCTAGTATTTTTCCATCACCGACCCCCGCCTTGTTCCTTGGCTACACAGTCGCACTTGCCCATGCTATAATCAGAGTTGAGGCCAGTCTCTCTCCCTCCCTCACCGCAAAACCCCATGGAGGTGCCTACGCCTTTCACAGTAGTTTCCCCACTTGAAAAGTCTTCTTTCTGGTTTTTAAATTTAAAATTTATTTTTTTCCACTAGCACTTCCAGTACCATTCCTTCTGGTTTTTAACAGTCATTGAATATTGGCCTATTATTCATATTTATATTCAATAACTGTCACTGAATACATATTTTAACACTTTTCTCTTATTCATGATGTTAGACCTCCCCACCTCCTCTTTCTCTTGGAGTGTTTATCTTCTCCAGCTCTCTAACCATATCTATCCTTTTGTACCAAGTCCCTCCTTGTAGGTGTGTATATATGTATACATATGTGTGTATATGTACATATATATGTACATATTTTGTGTGTGTGTGTATATATATATACACACACAAAAAAAAAAAAACAGAGAGAAGAAGAATAAAAAAAAGTTAGGGAAAAATACAGAATAGTTGCTTGATAATGTAGGTGTTGAAGGTTTTCCTAAGCAAGGCACAAAACCCAGAAACCATAATGAAAATTGGTTGTGTATTTGATGACTTAAAAATGAAAACCTTCTGCATGATCAAAGATATAAGCAGATTTAAAGACTTGTGTGGCAGAAATTTCTTTGACTTGTCTATTCCATATTGCACATTTCTCCCTTAAAAACAGAAGCACTGTATTCCTTAGGGTGATTGTGTGCCAAAGTGGCTAATTGTGCCTTTCCTATCAAACAAGGAGAGGATCCTTACTCACAGTTCCATTTTCTATGTATTTTTGTTTTAATTTTTGAGATTTTTTAATTTTTAAAAATGTTATTTATTTATATATTTTTAAAATTAATATATATATATATTTTTTTTTAGAAAGAGTCTCACTCTGTCACCCAGGCTGGAGTGCAGTGGCATGATCTTGGCTCACTGCAGCCTCCACCTCCTGGGTTCAAGTGATTCGCCTGCTTCAGCCTCCCCAGTAGATGAGACTACAAGCATGCGACAACACGCCCAGCCAATTTTTGTATTTTTAGTAGAGATGGGGTTTCGCCATGTTGGCCAGGCTGGTCTCGAACTCCTGACCTCAGGTGATCCGCCTGCCTTGGCTTCCCAAAGTGCTGAGATTACAGGCGTGAGTCACTACGCCCAGTCACATGTCCATTTTTTATGGATAAGGAAGCAGAACTCAGAGATATTGAGTGGCACACCCAAGACCACCTTGCTGATAGCTGATGGAGCTGACTTAGGTATCTGTCGTCACTACGTTTATTTAAACACACAGTGTTTACCATGTGCCAGGCCCTGTTCCAGGAACTGCACAAATATCACCTAGTTTCATCCTCATAACAAGCTTTTGAGATAGGTATTAGCTGTATTAGCTCCATTTTACAACAATTAAACTGAATCATAAGAGAGCTTAGTAACTTACCCAGCTGGTAAGAGGTAGCCAGGTTCAAGCCCAGGCATGTCTGGCCCCCTGCTCTATTCTACAGTCACCACCTACATTGCCGCTGTGTTTCCTCGTGTTTCCTGAGGAAGGAGCCACGCTTACCAAGGGCTCTAAGTCCCATCCAACTTCCTGGTTTTCAGTCTGTGTCTCTGGGTACTTCTTCTTTGGTCCCTGGGCAGTATGGTGAATGAGATTCAGAAACCTGGCTGGGAGATGAGGTATGAGTTATGAAGGAGTCAGGCTTTGGGACCAGAGGTTGGTCCTGTGCCCTTTCCTGTGTCCACGTTGTTCCTTTCAGGCAGAGCATCTGGGCCTCGGAGGTTTGCCTCAGCCTTGAGAACAGGGTGTCTGGTCTCTCCACTCATTTTTCAACAAAGATGGTAGTGAGCTCAAACTCTATGCCAGGCATGGTTCTGGGCGCTGGGCATAGAGTGCTGAGTGACAGCGTGGTCCCTGCTTTCCTAGAGCTCATGGTCTAGACGGGGCAGAGGACACAGTATGCAGGTTTACAAAATGACGTGATGGTGGCAGACGGGGATATGCGCTGTGAAGAAAGGAATAGGTGAAGGGTCATGTGCAGGCAAGGGCAGCTGCTGTAGAGGGGGCAGCGAGAGAAGGCCTCTCTGGTTGACAAGCAGGAGCCAGCCCTGGAAGAGGCAGAGGAAGAGCACACCGCAGGCAGCAAGAGCAAAGGCCCCGAGGCATGAGCAAGTTTGGCCAGTGTAGCACAGCAGAGAGTGAGGAGCCAGCTTGTAAGAAGTGAGGTCAAATCTTTGTGTATTGAAATAAGTATGGCTGCCGACACCAGATGGATTTGCAGCTCCATAGTTCTTCTGCCCTATCAAGTCTCCGCCAGAGAGAGGCAGGCGGACAATGGAATGAACCTGGGCTTTGGAGTCAGTGCTAGTACCGGCTTGTTGGGTGGCATCACTTCTCTGGGCAACACTTCACTCATCTGTTAAATGGGAGGAAAATGTCTATCTCAGCAAGATGGCTGGGAATGAAATGAAGGAAGGTGATTCAAGGGACTGACACTGGGCTGGCACATCCTTAATGTAAGGGAGAGGGCAGCTAACTCCTGCCTGACTTTCAGGACCCTCATTTCCTGTTGTATTCCTTACTGCTACAGGTTCTCAGATTGCAACCTTTGCCCTAGTCAGGGGAGAACACTATGGATAACACCTTACTGCCTGTGATGATGCCCTCTCTATTAGTCTATTGACTTGTCTGCCTCCTTCATAATGCTCTGAGATCCTCTGCTCCCCTACTTCCCATCCCAGCCACGGTCATCTGTCCTTCACCAAAGTTTGCTCATAGAAGGTAGAGGGGAAGAAGGAAAGCTTTCCAAGAGGGATGCGGTTTTCCACCAAATATCTCTCCTTCCTCACTCCCAAATAGGGCCCTTTCTCCACCTGTATGTTGTGGCCATGCCAAACTACTTGTAGTCATGTTTCTCTTTCTGTAATTTTCCATAGAACTTGGAATGTCCTTCCACAATCTTCTCCACCTCACCCTGTGGTCACCTCCTCCAAGAGGTCTTCCCAGAACTCCACTGCCTGACGGAGGCACCTGTTTCCTATGCTGTTCTCACACCAGCCATAGTCCCTCTTTACTTGTCTACTTATTTCCAAGTCTACTTCTCTTCTTCTTCATTATGCTATGAGATCTCCCCAACCCAGACCCAGCATAAAGATTACCTAATAATGAAAATAACAATGGGACTAATATTTCCTGAGGACCATGTACCAGCTACTATTCTATGCACTGGCATTCTTTTGTCTAATCCTCACATCAATCCTGAGAAATAGGCTAAGAGAGGTGAAAAACCTGCCCAATATTACAGTTAATGAGTAGCAGAACCAGGATTTGAACTGAGTGAGTACAGCTTCAGAACTTGTGCTTGTAACATTTACATATCTGATGAATGAATGAAGGCAATGTTAAGCCAGTAGGAACACTAGTTGACTTGACAGTTATAGTTGCATATGTCCATCTTTTAAAAATTATACTAAATTTTTTTTAAAATTATTTTTTATTCTATCTGCCACAGACTGTCTGAGTAGCCATCTTTTTTGAGCTTGGTTAGCATGAGTCCCATTTTCAGGATCAAAGCAGAGGACTCTGATGCATGCTCCAGGGTATCAGTACCCTGAGAGGTCTCTCCAGCCGGTCTGCCTCTCTGGGCTGTATCTCAACGGCATTTCAAACCCCAGGACTTACCATCTGCAGGTTCCTCCAGGTTATCATGCCAAGACATGGGCTTCCTGGTGATTGTGTGAACTAGAAAAAAAGAAAAAAGAAATGGCATCACGGGTTCAGATTAAAACATGAATTCCCTGCCCTCTCTAAGACCCACCTTAAACAGGGCACCCATCTGGCACTGGTACATGCCAGGCATTATCCTGGGTGCTAGGATAATACGCGATTGGATAAGGCCCTCAAGAACCTGACAGTCTAGAGTGGCACTGCCCAGAATGGTGGTCATCAGCCACGTGTGGCTCCTTGAATTTGAATAACTAAAATTAAATACGATGTTCAGTTCCTTAGTCACGTTAGTCACACTTCAAGTGCTCAATAGCCACATGTGGTTAATGGCTACAGTTTTGACTACAGCCAAGACAGAGAACATTTTCATCACTGATGAATTCTCTTGAACAGTGCTGGCCTATGGGGAAGGCCAAAAAGGTTTGCCAGGCAGTGATCTATGCCCAGGAGGGCGCATGGTAACAGAGGAGCAGCACCCACATTCATCCACTCAGCTCATAATTACTGTGCACTGAAGAACAGGCTGTAAACAAGACAGAGCTGGCTCTTGTGCCCTCTGAGCTTTTACTCTATTTGTGGTGACAGGCAATAAACATCTATCTATCTATCTATCTATATATATATATGTAAGTGGGCAAATGTAAGTGTGATGGAGAACAGTAAAGCAGGTTATGTGGATGGAGAGTTGGCATTGGGGCTGGGGTGTTGGTGATGTATCTCTAGGGAGATACATATTAGCAGAGCTTTGAATGAAATGAGGGAATGTGCTGTGTATGTGGGAAGCGTGTAAGCGTGAGCCTGGGGAGTTTGAGAAACGTCAAGAAAGCCAGAGTGGCTCCAGTGGAGTGAGCCAGATGGAGAGTAGTGGGAAATGAGCAGACACCAGTAGAAACCAGTGGTCTCCAAGCTGCTTGTCTCAAACTCCTATCAGTAAAAGGACTTTAGAGCATGCGCCCTTAAAATATGTATAATTATATAGTTTTTATGTACTATTATCAGTATATTAGCGATGAAAATTTCTATCTTTATAAATAAAAGTAATCAATACAAGTTGTAATATTTTCTCACTTTATTCCAATGGCTCACATGCTCGAGGGACATGAGCTGGGAAACAGCGTTTTCCCTAGAAAGCATGAAGGTTGCCTGAAGAGGTTATTTCCATTGTTGGAATGGACCCAGTTTGAACGGCTTTCTACGCTAATTTGCTTTCCTGAAACTAGTGGTTGGGGGCTCCAGAAGAAAACCAAGTTAGTTAGAAGGAAAGTGAAGACAGTACATTTTCTCTATAGAGCCGGGCAACAAAGTGTACTTTACTTATTAGGCACAGAGTTGGGAAAGGCATTCAGGAAGAAGCAACAATGTTTATGCAGGTAAAGTGGGAAATGACATGATGCATTTGGGAAATCCATTTATTTAGAAACAGCAGGGGGAAAGGAGTGTGTGTGGGATTCATCAGCAATGGCTGGTGCAGAGTAGCCACCAAAGCATTTCTTAAAGGAGCAGGGCAAAGTCGGGGAGAGGAGTATGGGATGAAGCTGGCAGGAACCAGAGCCAGTTCCAATGCGCCTTATGTCCGGATTGATTTAAGCTTTACCTCAGAAGCTATGAGAAGGATTTTAGGTGGGATTGATGTGATCTAATTGTCCTCCTAGCATAGCACTAAGCTATCAAGGGTGTAGGCGTTTGGTCGGAGGGGCCAGCTTGGAGGGAAAGAGAATAAGGAATTGGGAGCCCATCAGACCAATCCAGGCGGTAAGGACTAGGGCCCTGCAGAGGCTTCAGGAATGAGGATGCAGGCAGAGGCCGTTTGAGGTGCTACTTAGAGCATGAAAGTACCTGAGCAGAGGCAGAGAGGAATCCATATGCATGATAGTGTCTTTCACTGAAGCAGGAACAGGTAGGTGAGGGGAGAGGAATGTTAATAAACAGGACTTGTGCCTTTTTTAAGTGTGTGGAGGGAGGGAGAGAGACCTTGAGGAGGACTCCGAGGCTTCTAATGATCACGAGATCATTAGATGATGAGAGTGAATGATCCTGATCATGAGAGTGAATCATCCAGGGATCCTTTTGCAGTGACAGGGTATTCTGGAGCAGCAGAGAGTGGGAAAGGTGGGGATGAGCCTGGCTTTCCTCCTGCTGGGTGTGAGGTGCCTGTGGGTGGTCCAGGGAGGGGAGCTGGGAGGTGGTTGGGCGTGTGCATCTGAAGCTCCATTTGAGACCCAGTGGCATTCAGGGGAAACTGGTGTGACAGGACAGATCAAACTGCCCAAGGAGGGTGCACAGAGACAAGAGTGGAGGGTACAGGGGCAGGAGGTGGCGTGTCTGAAGCTCCATTTGAGACCAGTGGCATTCAGGGGAAACTGGTGTGACAGGACAGATCAAACTGCCCAAGGAGGGTGCACAGAGACAAGAGTGGAGGGTAGGGCTGTTTTATCAGGGGGCACCCCGGAACTTTCCGAAGGACAATATAAGAAGCCTGAAGGAAAACCTTTCACTTGTTAAAAACCGAAAATACAAACAAAAACTAAACACAAACAGCCCGCAAAATATAATTATTTCAAAAATAAAATCATAAAAAGCTATACAACCTTTTTTTTCTTCTACAACGAAAAGGTTTAATCGTGTTGCGCATGAACTTTAATACAGCGAATACATCTGATATGATGTGGCCTCTCCAAAGTCATGGTTCCTGAAATCTAGGAAAGGGGGTGGATGCTGGGGAAAGCGTTTTTGCTGGGACCGCGTTCCCATCCCGCAGCCAGGAGGGCTCCTTCCCCGACGCCCTCCCGCTGTCGCCTCTCCCCCGCCCCACAGTGCCTCTCACTCTTGCGGAGGGGATTCACGTGATACTGCGTGTAGAGTTTCTGGGTTCGTAGCTCCTTGTGGTACAGTTCCCGCAAGATCTGGTTCTGATGGATCTCATCTGGAATCACCTTCTCTCTTGGGTGTCCCGCCATGGCCTTGGGCTGCCCCGTGCCCTCTTGCCTGGGCCTTCCACAGTTTCCAGGCAGCGCGTCCCCGCTGTCTCCAGGCAACGGCGTCCCGCGGTCTCCAGGCAACAGCGCTCTGGTAGTGCTGCCCGGTCGGGGCGGGTCTCACTCGGACAACCCATTCCCCTGCCTGCATCGCCCCGCCCCGCGCCCGCCTGTCGGGATCTTATTTCGCGCCCCGCCCTTTTCTGGCGCCGCACTCACTTGCCCCAGCTTCTCAGGCCCCGGCTGGTTACTATAAGGTCCCCTGGATACCGCCAGGAAAGGGCTTCCCGGCAAGGGGGCAGACCCAGGAGGTAAGGGACAGATGATTGGACCTCACGTTGGCCAATCATTTCCTAAAAAAGCTTTTGGAAGGAGTCAGAAATCTCTTCCACGTTAAAGCAGATGCCCAGAATCAAAACCTCACAAAAAAATCGGAGGTTTCTTCTCTGAGAAAACGTTCTGGCCAGTGTGGCCAAGATTACCAACGTGATAATATTGACAGAGTAAACCTTTCCTAATTAAGGAACTTGCTGACTTTATAGTTTATTTTTAATGTTTGTGTTTAAAATGCACATACTATAATTTTACCATCTTAGCCATTTTTAAGTATTACAGTACAGTAGTATTAAGTATATTCAAACTATGTGAAACCAATCTCCAGAACTTTTTCACACCCATTAAACAACGTTTCCGTTTTCCCTTCTCTCCAGCCCCTGTCATTTCACTTTTTGTTTCTATGAATTTGAGTCTGCCAGCTACCTTAAATAATGTAGTTTATTTTAAAAGAATCGCTGGGCACAGTGGCTCACGCCTGTAATCCCAGCACTTTGGGAGGCCGAGGCAGGTGGAGCACCTGAGGTCAGGAGTTCGAGACCAGCCTGACCAACATGGTGAAACCCTATCTCGACTAAAAATACAAAATTAGCCAGGCGTGATGGCACATGCCTGTAATCCCAGCTACTCGAGAGGCTGAGGCAGGAGAATCGCTTGAACCTGGGAGGTGGAGGTTGCAGTGAGTTGAGACCACGCCATTGCATTCCAGCCTGGGTGACAGAGACTCCGTCTAAAAAGATTTTTTTAAAAAAGAATCAAAAGTAGGTCTAGCAAAAAGAAAGAAGCCACCCCTAGTTTTAGTAAGCACCTAAATACTGACTGAAGACTGTGCTCTTCCCCACTCAGTACTTCATTCATTCATCCATTCATTCATTCACTCAGAACACAATGTGATTTGCCGAATGGGTTTAGTCTGGGACACAGTGTCGAACACAATTTTTAATTGGATCATTTATCTTTATCAATTTGTTGGAGTTCTTAATGTATTATTTTGAGGGCTGTACATGCTGCAAATTTACTTTCCCTCTGTGTGGCTTGCCATTTTAGTCTCTTAATGGTGTCTTTTGGACACCAAAAGTTAGACGTAGTCAAATATATTAGTCTTTTCCTTTATGATTATTGCTTCTTGATTTTCATTTAAGACATCTTTTTCTAATTTGATGACCTGAGGTTATTTTTATTTTACTTTTCAGAGCAGTGCTGTTCAATGAAAGTATGAGCTGAGCCACTCATGTAATTTAAAACATTCTAGTATCTGCATTAAGAGGGCAAGAATTAGATAAAACTAATTTTAATAATGTGATATTTAACTCAGTATATCCAATTTGTCAATGATTCAATGTTTGAAAATAAAAATTATTGAGATATTTTACATTGTTTTGTCCTACTAATGCTTAAAATCCAGTGCAGATTTTATACTTCATAGTACATCTCAAGAGCTCCATGGCCATTTGTGGGCAGAGCTATTAATATTTAAGAGGATTTGTTGTTTTACCCTTTCTCAGTGAGATCTGTATTCCACCTGAAACTGGTTTTCGAGTGCAGTGTGAGGTAGGAATCCAGCTTCATTTTTTCTTTCCAAACAAGTATCCAGTTGACCCACCACCAACTTATTGAAGAGACAGTCCTTCCTCACTGGTCTGCTGTGCTACTGCGGCCATAAAGAAAGTGTCCCCATATGTGCAAGTCCATTTCTGGACTCTATTCTGTGCCATTGGTCTATTTGTCTAAGCAATCGCACTGCACTATCTTAATTATCATAATTTGTGTAACAAATTCTAACATCTGGTAGGGAAGGATGTCTTCTCAAGAGAGTCTTGCCTCTTCTTGGCCCTTTGTATGTCCATATAAATTATAACGAGCTTGTCAAGTTCCCTAAAAATATCCTTTGGAATTTTTATTGAGATTATATTGAATCCAGACCTCAGTTTGAGGAGAGCACTATTTTTTTTTTTTTTTTTGAGATGGAGTCTCGCTCTGTCGCCCAGGCTGGATGGAGTGCAGTGGCCAGATCTCAGCTCACTGCAAGCTCTGCCTCCCGGGTTTACGCCATTCTCCTGCCTCAGCCTCCCGAGTAGCTGGGACTACAGGCACCCGCCACCTCGCCCGGCTAGTTTTTGTATTTTTTAGTAGAGACGGGGGTTTCACCGTGTTAGTCAGGATGGTCTCGATCTCCTGACCTCGTGATCCGCCTGTCTCAGCCTCCCAAAGTGCTGGGATTACAGGCTTGAGCCACCGCGCCCAGCCTGAGGAGAGCACTTCTTAATGTCATGTGTTCATCTGATGCTATCATCTGCTCAGGATCTGGACACATTCTTGCCTTCTAGACTGCTACCTTTCCCATTCTGAAGTAGCAGCGCTGACTGAGCAAGAGGCTCAACCCTCAGAGCTTTGATGAGAGCACAATGGAGGGACCCTCCCCTTTTTGCAGGAGACATTTCTCAAGGGCAGAAAGTCCTTGGAATGGTCCTGGAATCCTAGGATGAAGAAAATGGAGTCTGGGAGGAACCAGACCAAAGGAAACAGAAACAAACCTGAGTATCCATCTATCTATAGCCGGGACCTTGTGCCCTGTGTGATTCTCAGGGGTTGCACTCACTTGAATGCAGGGCAGATCGACAGGACTTACCCTCCAGAGAAAACATTAGATGTGTTCCACTCCTCACTCTCCTCTTCATTCTCTGTCACTGGCCCCGCAATTTGCTCTGTGGCTACAGACCAAGTTCCATGGAGAAGCCAGTCTCAAACGCAGAGAGCCTCATGCAGGCTGGCTGACCAGGCATGAGAGGAAAGGAGGGAACTGTTGAAAAAAAGGAAATCTCTGGCATCTGAAGAGGACTGCCCAGATGGGAATGTAGACAAAATAGAGATAGTAGCAAAGTAACCAGGATCTGGTCATGGAAAAGGGGTCCTGTCACTTACCAAGGCTGAAGGTGGGTTTGCTGTTGCCTTGCATTCTGTGTGTCCACCAGGCCAAGCTGCTGGGAATCCACAGTCCTGGCCATTCTGAACCGCCCCAGAACTGCTCCAGCAGGAGGGAAACCATCTCTCCAGGATGAGAGCTGTGAATTGTCATGGCTGGTTGGAGGTGGCTCGATAGGGAGTGGGAGCTAGAGTACAGGGGATTAGAAACAAGGGCTAGGAGGAGGAGCAGAGGGAAAGGCAGGGGAGTAATGGAAATTGGGACCCTGATGAACGTGGCAGCAGCAGATGCATGGTTTAAAACCAACAGAGGAAGAGCTGGGCAGATCCTTACAGTAGGGTAGTGGGCAGGGCTGACGTTATTCAGAGAGGGGTTATTCAGATATTCAGATAGGGCAGAACCCCGTTATTCAGATAGGGCAGAACTCTGAAAATGTGGGATGGCACAGGAGACTAGGGTGCAGGCTTGAACACTGAGGAAAAATGGCAGAAAGGAGGGCTGGATAATGAGAGCATTAACGAACAGAAAAGGTGAAATCGTGGGTTGAGAAAGAGAAATTTGAGGTAGCTTGCTTGTCATTCTTTCAAATGGGAGCTCTCGTTACTTGTCCAAATGAATCCAAATGAGTCATTGGGATGTGGCCAGACCTACTCCAGGATTTATCTCACACACAGCCCTCACATCATCCCATAACTGAATGCCCATTATGAAATGTACATACACATCTCTTTTGGTCTAGTGAGCAGGTCCCACCAATCAGGGAAATGGTACTAGTTTCTAGGTTTAAGAGTTGTCACGGGAAATGGCAAAGAGAAGAAATGGGGCTGTAGTAATAATCCTTGTTCTTGGGATACTATGTAGTTTTGTCCTCAGTAGGCAAAGACTGACCAAAGGGCTAGGATAGATTTAGAGGGCTGGAGCCTAGGAGAGCAGTGCTGAAGCAGGAATCGGGAAAATGGGAAGACATCAGTGCCCCAGTATCCTTCCCTGACAACACTGTTCAAAAGCCCTTTTCACTGCATTTACATCACTGGATGGATATGTGTGATTAGAGATGTCGTGTCCATTTTACCATGAGGATGGTGAAGACCAGAGAAGGAAGTCCCATAGGTGGCAAAGGGGTGACAAAGTAGATGGGACTAGAACTTGGGCCAAAAGAAGGGGGCAGGAATGAGGGAGCACAGAATGGTGCAAAGCCCAGACCAGCAGCTTTGCCTCCTCCTGCGTCTCTGAACAGGATCCTGTAGGGGGCGCTTCAGAGCAGAACTGAACTTTTTGGAGCGTACCATCTTGGTTCCTGTGTTCCCTTGGTTTGATGACTTACTCTTTACTGGAACCATAAACATAGGGCTGAAACTGGTAGGATGACTTCCCACTCCTGAGTGCCTGACGACTAGATCTGGACTTCATTGCTCACTACCTGAGATGCCTGTCTCCATGTCAGATAATTAAGGAGAGTACACCCTCCCCCTTTCTTTAGTCTGATGAAGCAATCCCTTCTGCTAACCATTCCACCTTTCTTTGATCACCATCCAAATCATAAGTCCATTTGCTCACCTATTCTCTCTGGTATTTTTATCACCATAATATTCTGATTGTTTTTTCTTGACCCAACACCCTTTTCCTCCCTTACTTTCAGTGGTACTCTATGGGTTCAGCTGCACGATTAGCAAACTTCCCTATTTCCTTAGACTGCTTCTGTATGGACAGTTCCTTGCTTCTCCCAGCTTTAAATGTAGCTTGGATTTCC